TATTCTATGACACTCTGAATTAATCATATTTAAGATTTCCCTTCCAATGGCTGGTTTTGTCTTCCATCAGGATTTATCACTTAGATCAAAACAATACTTAAGCAGATTAAGAATATGAGCTGAAGACTTCAGTGATCTGCTTTGGGTTAGAGATGAGCCAATGGGCTCTCAATAAATAAATAAATAAATATTCTTCCTCTATCCAGCACCATTTATCATTGGGAAGGAGAGGGATGAGGGAGAAGCCAGTTAAAACCAGTTAAAGCCAGTTAGGCAAGGTGCCAATCATCCATGGGGAACTAGGGAGTACAAATCCAAAACCAAATGACTCATGTGGAAGAGGGTTTCATTTGTTCTGCCTGGCTTGAGGAAGAAGCTAGAACAAATGGGCAAAATTACAGGGAGGTAGGTTTCAACCCTTTCCCTCGGCTCAAGATATAAACATTCCCCTCCCTTCTGAGCTTATTTGCAACTTTACAAATGTGAATGAAAGTTAAAGAACTAGGGGTAAGACAAAATGAGCCTTAAATCAGGCTCTGACTGAAGGTCTTTGCTGCTTAAAGTTCAATTTAAGGGCAGCTACTGGTAGACTCAGGTGGGCAAGATCCATTCCAACACTTGTTTTTTGGGATGATCTAAGCTAATTTGTCTGGAGTACTTTTTCACTAGATACACAGAAAGCTGATTATAACCAGTGGTAATCTGTCATTGCATTCAAAGGGCTTCAGAGGGTCCATGTGGTTAGTATGTTGGAAGAGCTTAGGTAAATAAACAGACAAGGTGTTCCTGAAACATAAATGGCTTTCAAATTTTAGTTTGGTCCTGTACGTCTCCAAGTTAAAGGAAGCGCACTTGTACACGAGGCCCCTGCTCAGCTTAAACAAATGTCCACAAAATTCCTGAGCACTAAGTTCTTTCAAAGTATGAACTTGTTAAGGAAAAAGTCACCAAGAATCTCTTGCAGGTTTGTATGCTAAGGCATAGAAACATTAGAAAGGTTTACCCTGTCTCTGGAAAGAGGGATACTCTTGCTGGCTTTGCAAACCCCTTGAAGACTTCATTTTAATTGCATCCTAATGTCAAATAAACTTGCTGACTCGGGGTAGTGGGAACGTATTTCTAAATCCAAGTAAGCTCCACCACAGCTACTGACTGTTATACTTTTTCCACTTGACTATAGAAAACCAATACTTCAAAATCATAAGTGTAGGCACTCCCCCTCACAAATACAAATTCTCCATGACTGGCCTCATTAGTCCATAGGATTTACAGATGTAAAGAACCTTAAGAAATTATTTAAATCTAGCTCCTTCATTTTACAGATGAGGAAACCAAGGTTCAGAGAGAAAAAATGCCTTGCCAGAGTTAGATTAAGTGGCAGATCCAAACTTCAAATGAAGGCCCTCTCAATCCAGTTTCTTTCCACTATGCCATGATGACTCCAAAAATGACAAGTTCAGTTTTATAGTTTTTCTAAGCAAACAAGGCACATGGTAGAGAGTGGCAAATCCACTTTTTGCCACTTTACTTCCATTTCCAGAAATACATTATAGGGAAGCTTATCTATAACATCGGTGTTCTGCCCAGCACCCCTACAAGGGCAGGTCACCCACTATTAACAGCTCATGACATCTTCTAAATTCATCAAAATTTAACAAGAGTAAAACAAATACAAAAATCTACACTTTTTAGAAGGCTTGATTTCTTAAGCTGAAAGAATCCATAAAGGCTGGACTTCAAGAAAGGACACCAAGAATCAAACATACATATAGATGAAAAAAAAATGAGACTGAGGTTGTGATTTCAGGTCACAGAGGAAGTAAACAGCACCAAGACCCTGGTCTTTGGCTGTAAATCCAATCATCTTTCCACTACACATTGCCTTCCCTTAGTATGTTGCTGTTAACGTCCAATGAAAAAAGGGTCTATTTTTTACTTACATTCTTTGCAAATTTCCCTCTAATTCTCACCAAGGCATAAATGAGAGGTTTTATTGAACTTCCTAAAGATTGCTGCAGTTTTGGGGGGAGGGAATCAAGGCAGATAACCCTCTGAACTTAGCTGGTCTGGACCCTTGAAAAGAGGTAAACAGCTGCTTTTCAAATCTGTATTCAATGCCTTTCCAACATCATCAGCCTTGCCAGACCTCATGTTCCATTGGTATAGGTTCAAAGAAGCTATATTTACTTTTTGGTCATATCTGACGAGGAGGTTGGTGGAACAGAAAAACCGAACAGAATTTAACATAAATGTAAAGTTGAAGGTGGGGATTCAAACCTCCTGTTTGTCATCAGTTGTATTACCCAAGGCAAATCACAACCTCCATATAGCCATAGGGCTTATTCAGTCCTAACAAGTGTTTAGATCTCACCACAAGAACCTTCCTCCCCGTCCAATATCCAAATATACTAGCAGCTTCATTGGATTCCTTTCCCTCATTGCTCGTGCAATGATACTTCAAGTACTAATTTCGTCTAAGACATTTGATGGGGAAGTTAAATTGATGGCTAGCAGATAAGACTTTGGAATTACAGATGGGAAAATAATTATATAGTTATCCAAAGTAAAGAGTTTCTAAGAGATCAAGGAAAAGAGGTACATTTTTAATTCTGCCTCATCTGTCTTTATTTAAAATTGAAGTGTTAAGAGTGGATTTCTGATTTTTAAAACTTGTGAATAAAAAAAGGGAATTTTCTTGTACTTGTATTGAGGTAAAAGGATATTCATTATAAACTGCCTTTTCTCATATGTTGTTTTCAAGTTTTCTATAACCTTAGCTCTAGTGCAAGGAACTTGAATTCATCAGTGTTCTCTTACTATTATCTGCTTACTTTATGATACCAACTCATCAGTTATTTTTATTGCCCTTTCCAAATCAAAGGTCATTTTCTTGGCAGAGAAAACAGAAGTAAAGTTAAGAGTTGGGCAGCAATGTGTTGTCGTTGATCAGTTATCCTTGTCCCATCCATCCCAAGCAATGTCTCCCAACTATCCCTTTAAAAAAGCCCAGAGCCCCTGTTGTTGTTCATAGTTTTCTTACCTGGCTCAGCTCTGAGCTTAATACTCCTAAAAGAACTGGCAAATGTGATGCTGAGCCACTTTGTTATCTTTGAAAGTTATCGGAGATGACTCTCTCAAATGCACTATGCTGCCCCATAATAAATGGTTCTGGTTTTCAAAAAGTCTTGCCAATTAACAGGCCAGTGAGCCTTTCTTGGCAAATTTTTTAAAATGCGCTATTAGTTATTTAAAGAACCAATAAACATACAGAGCTTGGTCACCTTTGATATCAATAGATCATACCAAAACAGACTTATTGCTTTTGATGGGGTTCTCGGACTGGAAGGTCAAGGGAATTTTACAGATTACTTAGATCTTAGGAGAGAATCTGATTAAGTCTTGAACACTGTATTTGTGGAAGTGAGTGAGATGCAGGCTAGAAGGTAGTTCAATTAGATGGATCTAGAACTGGTTAAATGGCTAAACCTAAATAGTCATTAATGATTCACTGTCAACTTGGGAAGGTCTCCTGGGAAGCATCCTAGGGATCTGTGTTTGGTTCTGTGCTGTCTGCCATTTTTATCAGTGACTTGAATAACAGCATAAATGGTATGTTTAACAAATTTGCAGATGACCCGAACCTAAGGCTAATATTAGCTACCACACTGGATGACAGTCACGTTCTAAAAAGAGCCTGACAGGCTAGACAATGCGGGCTGAATCAAAATGGATGGAATTTGGTAGAGATACATGCAGTTATACATCTATATTTAAAAAATGAGTCAACTTCATAGGCAGAAAATGGGAGAGGCACGACTATGCGTTCTTAAGATCTGAGGGGTTTGGTGACATAAAGATCAGTATGACACAACACACTGCAATCTAAGGCTGTACTGACAGGCCCAGTGTCCAGTCATAAAAAGGCAACAGGTCACATGTAAAGTATCTGGTTCTGTGTGTCATACTTTAGGAAGGCTATTGATGGTCAGTTGATGGAACCTGGGATGTTTGGCCTGCATAAGACTTAAGGACATGAAAACTTTCCTCAACTACTTCAGAGTGTGTCACATGTACCAAGGATTCGATTTGTTCTGGCAGGTCCCTGATGGCACATCTAGAAGCAACAGTGAAGCAAAGAGGCAAATTTAGGTCCAACAGAAGGAAAACTCCCTACCAATTAGAGCTACCCTAAAGGGCTAACAGGGAGCTTGGGGAGGTAGTAGATTCTCCCTTAACTTGAAGTTTTTAAGCAAAGGCTGCATGACCAAGTATATGGTAGAAAGGGATTCTTTTTTCAAGTGTGGCTTACACTAGATGGCCTGAAGTTCCTTCCAATTCTGGAATTTTGTTTTTGGTGGCATCTGTGTGCTCTCTTACTAACATCTCCTCACTTATCTTGTGTTTTCACTCCCTATTGAACTTTTATGTTCTTTTTGAAGACAACTGTCCTTGGAAGAGAAAGCAAACTAAACACTGAACTGCCTATCTTTTCCTTGTCTATTACTGTCCCATGTAACCCCAGGGGAGTTCATGAACTACTTCTCTCTCTCTCTCTGTTTCTCCAGGGCAAGAGCCACATAAATATATCTAATATTTCCCCCAACCAGTGCCTGACCCACAGAGAAGCTTGTCGGCTGACTGGATTAACCAGTGAAGGAGTTTGTCTGGAGGGGAAAATCTTCATATTGTTGGCTTCCTTCCCACTTTGATATGAGATGTTACAAATTACCCAAACAGCACAGAACACTCAATTTCAAAGGAAATTCAGAATAACTTTTTCCTGGTCTATAAAATGAGTTCAACTAGGTGACCTCTAAGGTCCCTGCCATATCTAAATCCTACCATCTAAAAGAACTTCCAAATTATTAAAACTATACAGAAATGGAATAGGTTGATTTGGAGGTAGTGAGTTCTCCAATCACTGGAGGTCTTCAAGGAGAAAATGAATTCACTTGTCAAGGATGCTGAACAGAAAATTCTTACTTCAGGTAAGGCTTGGGTTAGATGGCTTCTTAAGTGTATTCCAACTATGATTTTATGAAGCATTTTTAACAAAGGGATTCTGGTCCATAACTATGTTGGATAGCCTTGCTTTACACCTGTGCAGGATTCCTGAATCCTGTCTGTGATGACACTTTCCTGTAAGGAATGAGCATCTTTCTTCAAAGGTCACTATGGTTACAGGAACCTTTTATCCTGAAACTGATTACTGAACTTGCTTGTGGATCCTCCAAGACTGTGACACACAATCTCCAGGGGTGATGCATACTATGGCTGGTCTTTGTGAGGGTACTCTTGTAACAGACAAAGGCAATAATCATGACTGTCTTGGACAGTTTATGAATTTATGAAAGAAATTCAAGCTTGAATTTTAGTTGCTTTTTTTCTCCTTTCCTTCAAAGGACTATGTACCAATCATCATAATTACACTTCATTTGCTGTACTTTCACATATAACTACCAATGACATATGTTCAAGATGTTTTTCTCTATAGCAGCCACATCTCGGAGACTGCCTTCTCTTCCCATTCTGGCTCTCAGAAAGATGATTCCAGGATTCTGGCCGGGCTGACATCTGCTTGAGACTGCAGGAAGACTGGTAAATATGTGTTTACTGCAAGGATCCTTAAGCCATACTGAAATTCTTCCAAGCCTTAGTCTTTGTGAGTTGCTGGGGTCAAAAGAATTCATCAATGGTAATCAGCCTCTCTGAATTTAGATTGGACAACAAACAAAAAATCAGTCATTTACCTACCTTGAAATATTTCCAGCCTGGTAACCCTACTAAAGCTTTTATTCAACAAATAGAGCATCCCAAGACCTAGAGTTATCTCTATATCACAATAAAGCACTAGATCAGAATTTTAGGGCAAAATTAATTTAAAATTTTTTCACACGCATAAGAATTGTACCATATGCACTCTTACAAAAAGCAAATCCTTTTCCAAAACAGTCATTACCAGGCCAGAACAAATTTGGTCTGAGAAACAATATTAGGAATCTTTACTCCCAAATACCTACAAATTTTTTAAACCTAAAGATTCTCTTTCAGGGCAGCTAGGTGGCTCAGTGGATAGAGCACTGGCCCTGAAGTCAGGAGGACCTGAGTTCAAATCCGGCCTCAGACCAAACACTTGACACTTACTAGCTGTGTGACCCTGGGCAAGTCATTTAACCCCAATTGCCTAAAAAACAAAAACAAAACAAAAACAAAAGATTCTCTTCCTTCCAAAGGTTCTCTCTCCTCCCTGACTGTATACCTCTTGAGCACAGCCCTGAGGACATGGAGAGAATTTACATAATTCATCTAAATTTTAGGATCACTAGAGTTAAGATTAGAAAACACTGTTGTGTTTTAAAACAAAATCACTTTCATTTCACAGAGGAGAAAACTTAGGCCCACAGAAGGAAGATGTCTTCCTATTTTCAATCAGTTGCAAGACTAGAACTAGATCCCAGATTTCCTAACTTCCCTAGTTCAGGGATCTGTGCATTACAAGGAAGTAGATAGTTCCCAGGTGCTGGGAAGAAATATTACTTAAGAAAAAGAATACAGAATCTGAATTCAAGAGATGCTCAAATTGCAGCTCTGCCACTTGCTGTGTTGACTTTGTACAAGTCAATTTTCTCCCTGAGCCTCAGTTTCCCCATCTGTGAGATCAGAAAACTGGATCTCTAAATCCTTTCCAGATATACATCCATAGAACCTATGATCCTAAGATATGAAACTTCAAAATGGGGGCTTGGGGTGAGGGAGGGGAATTGCATAGAATCATAAGATCTACAGCTAGAAAAAAATTCTTGAATAGTTCTTTCATTTTTCTATTAAGGAATGTGCAAGCATACAAGTTAAATGATATAAGGTCACATGTGAGATGTAGGTCTTCTCCAAATTCAGCGGTCTGTCCGCCACATTACTGTTGCCAAACAAAAGCAGAGCAGGAAAAGCCTCAGAGACCGTACAGTCCTGCAATCTCATGTCACAAATGAAGAAATTAAGCCCCAGAGAGAGAGTGCCACACACCGGGTCTTTCCGACCTCTGCAGAGGCGTGCAAGGGTCACTTTGCGCAGCGGTCAGGAGGCCTGGGGTTAAGCCCCGGCTTTGCCCTGACTCCCTTCAACCAGTCACCGCTCTCGAGCCCAAGGCTCTGGCTCACAAACCACTCCCTCTTTCGGGCCTCAGTTTCCCGACCCTGCGCTGACGGGCACGGACCCCCGAGTCTGTCACGGCTCCGGGGAGGGCCAGGGGCAGGTCCCTTCCTTTCTCCGTGCCTCAGTTTCCCGCATTAAACGAGGACAGGGTGCTGGACGATACCTTTCTCCCTTCCCCCCACAACCTCCGAGAACTGGGGTGGGGGACACCCCGCTGCAGAAGAGGAAACGGAGGCGAAGAGGGAGCGGGGGAGGCCTGGCTTCGAGGCGAGACCCGCTCACGACAAGCCACGACTCTGGCGAGATCCGTGGCCCCCTCCCCCAGCCCCGGCCCCGACCCGGCCCGGCCCGCCGAGAAGAGCAGGCGCGGCGGGCTCGGCCCGAGACTGCCCCCCTGCCGCGAGGCCAGCCCGCCACACGGCCTCCCCCGCCCCCCGCCCCGCTCCGCTGCCCTCGGGCGGCCCGGGCGCCGGGCCTCACCACCTCCGCTCTGGCCTCCGGCCCCGTCCGCGGCCGCGCGCTACACGAACGAACGAACGAACGGACGGACGAACGGAACAAAACGAACAAACAACTGCCCTCGCCTCCGCGCATGCGCGAAAGGGCAGGGGGCGGGGTGGGAACGCGCATGAGCGGACGGTCCGCGCGCTTAAGCAGCAAGACTAAGCAGCCGTTGACCGAATCATCGATCCCTCCGGCTCTATTAGCTAGACGGGCGGGAGCGCTATCACGTGTGGGGGGGTGTGTGGAGGCGGAGGCGTGTGAGTGTCGGAATTCTTCCTCCGCGACTAGATTGAGAGTTTCTCAACTATTCCAACTCCCCCACAAAGCTCACTCGACTCCCAAGTAAATCTTAATGCGACACCTGCCACACCCTTGAAAACAAAGTATTGTGGCCCTCTCCATCACGGTCTCTTTAAAAGGCGTGGGTGGACGGCTCACGTGACGCCTTTAGGCCTGCGCTCGTCTCCCCCCCATCTGTTCCAGGCTGTCATTGGTCCCAGTACTTTAATCATCCGGGCCGTAGGCCCTTAGGAGGAAGAGGTGCGCCGGGATTGGTCAGTATAGACGGAGGGCGGGACTTTCGCCTGCCTCGTTGACAGGTGGGGTGGGGCTCCTCGATTGTCTGCAGATGTGGGGGTAGTGGTAGTGGGGGCACCGCCCTCGAATGGCACGTGGGCGGGGCTGAGGCGCTGTGATGGACGTCGCGGCCCGGGCCTGTGATTGGTCGGCAGAACTGGGCCGGGGCGCTGGGATTGGGCGGCGGCCGGCTGACGGGGTGGAGGACGAGACGGGTGGGGCGGGTGAGGCTGGAGAAGAGCAGTGTGCTCGAGACCGCGGACGGGAGCGGACGAAAGCGGTGGTTGCGGCGGCGGCACATGGTCTGCGGCGGAGCGCGCGCCGTGGCCGTTACTGCAACGTTCGCGGGTGCTGGGGGCGGTTGGGCGCGCGCTCCGCACCGGGCGACCCCGCCGGCCTCGGGGCTCCAGTGACTCAGGCCCGCCCCGCCCAGAGGAGGCCGAGGCCGCAGAGGAGACTCGGAGCCTGCGCCTTCGAGGGGGAGGAGGCGGAACCCCGGCCGCGGGCGCCGCGGGCGCCGCGTGCAGCTGCCCAGGGAGGCGGGAACTAGAGCTGCGGAGGCTCGAGCCCTGCACCCCATCCTTCCGGACCCCGCCAGCTTTGGGGCGCTCACCCCCTGCCTTCTGGATTCTGCTCTCCCCGCCTCAAGGGAAGCTCGGCTCTCGGCTTTTCAAGATCGGAAGTTCCCTGCACCAAGACCAGCAGCGACCCCGCCCACAGATTTTTAGGGAGCCCTTCCCCCTGGCCTCCGAGACTCAGGGACTCCCCCCCACCCCCATCCAAAATTCTTAGGAAGTGCACACGTGCTGGGCTCACTGGGAAGAACCTCCGAGACTCCACGGGAGAGTTTACTGTGTCCCCCCGCCCAAAGATTGTCAGGGAGCCCTGCCCCCCCCCCCGACTTCCCGGGAGGCAGCTCGTGGCCACGAGTCTGGAGAAGAACATTCACTGGTTAAGCGATTCCTGAAGAGCCTGGAGGCTGACTTTTGAACCCGGACCTGGATGGCCATGTCAAAGGATAGTTAAATAATAAAAAGCACGTCGTGTTCTAGAACCTTGTCTGAGCTCCCCCAACCCCCATCGAACGGTGGCTGGACTTGTTGGCCAGGGAGCCTCTCCAGCCTGGATTTTCCTGAAGAGAGCTTCGTAAGGTGGTCCTGAACATTCTCCAGAGCATCCTGAAAAGTTGACCCTCTGTCAGTACAGATTGATTGTCTCTCTGGAGGCCTCTTTTCATGTCCTTCCGAAATTAACTCTCAAGAAGAACTGTGGCACCTCAACTAGAATTTTTTTGGTATAGAAAGCATTAGGATAAGCAATTAAAAGCATAATAAGTTTTCTGGGTGGGCCTAGAGACCCACATGTTCAGATTTTGACAAGACTTAGCAGTCATGGCATTTACTAATTACAGCAGTCTGAATCGAGCTCAGCTGACATTTGAATATCTACATACAAATTCGTAAGTATCACGGGGGTGCTTCCCAAAGTCACCCATAGCAGCGTTCCTATTAATGCTGGAGCCATATTTTCATTTGACCTTTGAAATTTCACAGGTGTAGCAGGTTTCATCAAGCCATGGGGAGTTTGCAGAAGAAAAGGGATCAGTGAAGTATTGGGTAGTTGATGCAGAAGAAGCCTCAACTTCACTTATTGGCTCAAGCTGTTCTACAGTGTTGATCTAACAAGGAGAAGCTTTGATTGAAGGCATTTTATATATGGAGCTGTTGCATGGAAGTGTTTAACCAAAACTGACCAAGGGCTGGCTGATCCTGTGGATCCCCACAAGGGAGGATTTTCTAGCATCAACTGTTGTTTCTTATAGTGGGAGCAGCCCTTCCCCCATCCCTTCCCCCCCAAAAAAGAAATGATTATATGCTTATTGGAATAAGTTTGTTAAAGAAAGGAAACCAGTTTGGAGAAGAACTTTCAATGATAATTCATAAGAAGAATAGTCTTATTTCTGATGGTAAACAGAATAGGCTTTCTTTGTCCTGGGAATTGGCGCATCTGCTGATGTTTTTGCCAGGCAACAGTAGCCCCCGTTTAAATCACATATTTAAACAATCTTATATCAAGAATGTCCTCTGATACAGTCTGGAAATCTCCGAGTGGGACACAGCTATTCACAAAATGATTTGCTCTGTTCTTCACTTATGTGCCTAGAAAGAATACCATCACTCTTCTAGAGTCTTGAGGCCCTTGCTAGTATGTTGTTTGTGTCCTTCTGTTGGGATTTTTCTATCTGATCTAACCAGAGTGAGGGCACTGCCTTATCACTTGTTCAGTGTTATTTAGCAAGGCCTCCCACCTCCTGGGAGGAAGGTAAGTATTCTAAGATTCTGTGATTAGTGAGTTGAAGAGCAGTGTTTCCAAGTCAACTCTTGATGTTATTTGGCGAGTTATCTTCCATCTGGATGAAAATAGAAGTTTCTGGTTCTGAATTCACTGACACATTACCAGGGCACTGAGTGTTGGGTAGAAAAGACAAGCTGTCTTACTCCTTGGAAGAGTTTTACAGGAAATGTGAGTTGGCCTATTTTTCCCATGGGGAGGGAGTAGGATATTTAGGTAACAGTCATCTCTGCTGCTGCTGCTGCAGTGTTTTATAATAAGATCAGGGTTAACTTGTTTTGGTCCTGGGGAAAGTACTCTCTTGCTACTTTCAGAAATGACTTAAAAACAGTCTAGACTAAAGGCCCAAAGTAGCTGGATCTGATGAAGCTCTGGGAGTAAGGCAAGGGAAGAAAGAGAAGGGAAATGCCACAAATTAGTCCATTTTACTGCTCGTAAACCATCCTTTTGGTTTTAACTTTCATCTAAAAGTTTGTGGAAGAAAGACAAAAATAATTTTCAGGGCAGTGTGGGGATTTTCAATGGGTTTCAGATCATACCAGCTTGTAGCTACCCTCTGTTAGCATGTACATCTTAGAGCTGAACACGGTTTGGAGGCTGTGGTGGTTGCTGTTTACATTACTTCTCTCAAGTTTGAGGAAGGTCCTAGACTCTCAGAATAGGAAAGAGGCTTATAGGTCAGTTAGTCTAACCCTTGCCTTTCTATCTCTCATTTTCTGTCCAGTTCATCTGATTGGATTGAGTGGATTTCTCAATCTCATTCACATGGTCTCAGGATTTCTTGAAGTTTAGACAACTCCCATTCCCAAAGCATTATGGGAAGGTTTGAGTGGACACTATTTATTTTATCAAGCACTGAGTTTTTCTTGAGCACCCTATAGGTAGTTTATGAACCACAGCCAGGAGAGAGGGTTAATCTTTAAGATACTTTATTCAGTATAGGAAGTAAAGAGCAAATTTCTTTGCCTCAGATTTAGTTAGGGTTGGAATTCCCACTGGGCCTTAGAAACCCACGTTTAGATTTTGTTACAAGGCTTGAGACCAATATTGTAGTCATGATGTTAGAATCTATTTCTAATCCTAATTCCAGAAAGAAGGAAATGAATATTGAGAACTTAGTATGTGTCAGGCACCATGCTAGGTTAAAATGCACATGGTTCTCATGGTGGAACCTTTTTAGACAGTGACATGGAAGTTACTGCCCCTTATCTGTTGACTAAGGCATCTTTAGGGAAGAAAGGAGACATCTTTTCTCCTTAGCAGCTGCTCTGATGCAATTTTTAAACCAAATTAGATTAGGCTTAGGCCCTATCTGTTATCTTAAAACCTGACATAGCATCTGAATGATTCTGAACCTTATAAGGCATTATGGCCTCTTGTTTATTAAGAAAAAGTTCATTTTTTGAAAAACAAAAGTCAACGAACCAATAGTCAGTAAACACTAAGTGCTAGGAATAGAAGAAAGACAGTTCCTGCCCTCCAAATCTTCCAATCTAATGGGATAAAACAGCACAAAAAAGGGTGGGGGGGGGAGTCTGAGAAATCCCAAAGTAGTGCTGTCATCAGGGAGGGAGATGAGCCCTCTCCTTAAATGGAGGTTTTGGAGTTCATGGCTCCACTCTCTAATCAGAGGTGCTTTGTGGTCGGGTTGTTGGTTGGTTTTTTTCCTTCAGTCATGGTCAGATTCTGTGTGACGCCTTTTGGGGTTTTCTTGACAAAGATCCTGGAGTAGTTTGTCATCTTCTCCAGCTCATTTTATAGATGAGGAAACTGAGGCAAACAGTGTGAAGTGACTTGGCTAGGGTCACACAGCTAGGAAGGGACTGGATCTGGATTAATTGGATACACCAGGGCTAGTAAAGAGGCATGATTCTCAAGGCTGATGGGATCTTGCAGGCTGGTAAGTTTTTCCCAAAGGTTAGCTTTCAGGGCCATGGTAGAGAAATGGCTGCTTACTGTTGGGTCCCATTAAACCTTCTTGTCAAAGATGGTGGCCACTTTGGCCTCTCCTTAGCTAGGCTTTAAGTTGTTTTCTCTGGCCTATTATGACCATTTTCTCACTTTCTTTGATACTCAGATATTAGGCTAGGACTAGCTATAGGCCAGGGATGATTTTTTTAATGAACTCCGGGTTTCTGTGTATTGTGCCTTTGGTATTGGATATGTTTGGTTCATGCTAATGGGATGCATTAGAAACTGGATATCAACTGTGTGGTTATGTGGTCAGTGGCAGAAGGTGGTAAGTGTGGTTTTGATTTTGCTTATGAAATCTGGTACATGTAAAAGAGTTGACAGTAATAGCTTGATAGAATTTGATGAAGGTGGTAAAACACGCCCCCCCCCAATCCCTCAGGGTCATAGTGGTATATCTTAGTCATTTAATTGTTTGAATGTTTTGAATACTGTGGATGGCCTGGGAATTGGGCCTGGGGGCTTGGGGACAAGATTTTTTGGTTCTCTTCTGAGCCTTAGAGACTAATCTGTGGTCACATGATATTTCCATCTTGGTTTACCCATCCTGTGGCTGGATATGGAAATACCAACCAAATAGGACCACTAGGCTCAGTTTAAGAGTTTGAGCCTTTTAAAATGTCAATTAATAGCACAAACACTGTCCTTTATTCTGGGTACAAAGTATCTCTTCTTAAATTTCTCTTAGAAATTTGGACAACTGCTTAGCTATGAGCAGTGTTTCCTTCTTGAAGAAACTAGAAACCAAGAAAACACACTGAGCTTAATCTGGGTCCTAGTTCAAGCTGAGCATAATTAGATAAAACGTCTCAATATTTAATCATGTTCTTTTGCACTTATTTCATCCAATGAAAAGTGAGTTTGTAATTCCAAACTTTGAGCTTTGAAAGTTCGTCGTGGGAGACTTTGTTAGAAATTGATCTTTAAGTGGCTGATCTCTTGGGCCCAGGGGCAGAGGATGAAGAGGAAAAAGTCAGTTTTCATTTGATGATCTACTTCTTAAAATTCTAAATTGAAGCACATCTCTTGCTTGTCCAGAATGGTCATGTAGTATAGATGAGCCTTATTAATTTGAAGTTATGTGTTACTAAAGCTTAATTAAAGAACTTTTACTTCATGTGTTTAGTAATAGTACTCATGGAATGAAAGGACCACAGAATGGTCATGTAGTATAGATGAGCCTTATTAATTTGAAGTTATGTGTTACTAAAGCTTAATTAAAGAACTTTTACTTCATGTGTTTAGTAATAGTACTCATGGAATGAAAGGACCATATTATTTCAGGCCACATTGTTTTATAGGTGAAAAAACAGGCATAGAGAATAGCAGTGATTTGCCATCCCTTGGTCCACGCAGCAGAACCAGGCCTCCTGGTCACAGGCTCTGTGTGACTGGCTTTTCATTTCTTCTATCAAGTGGCTCTTTTTGGAGGGTTGGTGAAGGGATGAAAATGGCTGAATGAGATTTTAGGCTGGACCTAGCCCTTTTTCAGGGGGCTTGGCTCTTGAAAGGCAGGGCAGTAGAGGCCACTCTGAGCAAAGGGCTGGAAAGCATGGGCGCTCCCAGGTACCTTCAGAGCTCTGGTTTCAGGAACTCCAACGATGACCCAGTTCTCCCAAGAGTTCTTTTTAAGGTGTGTCATTTGCCAGCTGAGAGCTGTTGACCTGTGACCCTCAAGACCTCGTTTCCACATTCAGACCTGCAGGTGCTAAACCCTCCTAGGTATTGGGAACCTTTGGGAGCCTGATTTGTGCTGGAGAGATTGTTTTTTTCTGGAATTCAGTTCATTCTCATTCAGATTCCAAGTATGTCTCCATTGGTGTAAATGAAAAAAAAAAGAAAGAACAAATAAACAAACATGCCATAATTCTGGAGGAAGCTGCCCTAGCACTTGGGGATGAGTGGGTCCCCTCCCTTGAGTGCCCTGGCATCTGGGGGGCAGTGCTGGATATTCAGTGGTCCTGAGACGAGAGTGTGCTTTGTGATGAGCCTTTTTTTTTTTAAACTCGTGGAACCACTTGCTAATGTCCCAAAGGAAACTCTGCCAAACTGACTTCTCTGTGCCTGTCAGAATTCATTCTTAGCCAGAGCCCAGCCTGCTACCCGGCTTTGAGGGCCTCCCTCCTGAACCTTTAC